GTAAAACTAACCGACAAAACCAAGGTTCAAAGATTTTCTTGCTGCAGACAGCAGTACATAGGTTACAGAGATATGATTTGATTCTATCAGTGAATTGTTAATTAGTGTTTTATCTATCACATGCTTCAAAGCTATTTAAATGTATTTGCTTTTCTTTTTGTACCTACAGGCACTCTTTCCATGATATTGATCTTCCTTCACTCCAGACAACGGTAAGTATTTGGATAAGCAGTTGCTAGTACATATTTATTTTTAGTAGTAGTATAATAGTATTAGAAATGGAATCTGCAGTGCTTGTGGTAGTTTGAGTAGTTCACTAAAAATTTACATGTATTAATTACCTGCATTATATCACTGTTAAGCATAGTAGCCATTTATGTAGACAATCTTGTATAGGTATTGTGCAAAGATATTAATTTTGCCACGACCTGTGGAATTTGAAAAATGCAATAGCTTACACACACAGAAAAAATAGAGTAAAGTCTCTGTTTGTTCTTCCTTTAAAAATCATAGCAAGCCTAGGAAATACTCCAAAATTATGAGTTCAGTAATAGGTAATGAGACCACTTCCGAAAAGTTGACACTTAAACACGTGTTCATTTTTATTATTATAATTATTGTTATCATTATTGACAAAGATTTAACAAAATGCAACCCCCCCCCCCCTTCCACAAAGCATACTGTGTATCGGGACCTCACAACTGTAAGTAATATAGATAGATCTGGGGGGTGTTTCATAAAGAGTTCGTAAAGTTACGCATGACTTTACGAACGACTTGTATATGAAGTGCCAGATAGGATGCCCAAAAATTTCCTGATATTTCCAATAACCTCAATTAAATTATGGCAAAAAATATACTTTGCATTAAAAATGGTTGTTATAATAAGAATGTTAATCTACATCTGCACAGTTCAACTTAATAAATAATAATCAATTATGATTGAGCATCCCATTTGGCTTTTCATATACAAGTCGTTCGTAAAGTCATGCGTAACTTTACAAACAGCTTTATGAAACACCCCCCTGTATTATGTTCTTCTCTCACTCCTCACAATCTATCAATCAATTCACGATTTATCATTCTTCCTTCCTCTCTCAGACTTTCCAGGGTCGGACGATCATGGTGGACAGCACCCCTCGTGACATCCTGGACGGATCTACTCTCATCACCAGCCATACGGACGCAGAGAACAACCTCACACTCAGCAAACATGCCTCCATCGCCGTCTCATGAGCTCTCTCTCTTTCTCTTTAAATGACCGCCGCAAACCCACGGAAAAGGCAGAGAACAACTTAACACTCAACAAACATGCCTCCACTTTTAAATGACCGCCGCAAAGCCACAGAAAAGGGGGATTACCGTTAACGACCGGCTTTCTATGTAGTTTCACAAGCTCCCTTTTTTATGCCATCACAAACCCCCCCAAAAAAGGGAATCACCGTTAACAATTGGAGAGCACAACTTAACACTCAACAAGCAAGTCTCCATTGCCATCTCATGAGCTCTCTCTCTCTCTCTCTCTCTCTTTAAATGACAGCCGCAAACCCATGGAAAAGGGGGATTACCGTTAACAACGATTTGGTTTCTGTTTAGTTTCACAAGCTCCTTTTTTTAATGGCCATCACAGAGCTCCGGAAAAAGGGGATTACCGTTAACGATGGCTTTCTATTATATTCTCGTGAGCTCCTTCTTTAGGCTGCCCCAAACATACAAAAATGTACACAACAAAGTCCAATACATTTTGCAACTTTCGTTTTATTTTGTCCATGAGCAAAATCAAATCTTGCATGAAAAATAAAAGTTTTTTTCCTTCCTCACATCTTGTTCTGGAATTTCACATACACAAGGAATATGTAAGGCACCTTTGAATTTCAAGTGAATAACAGCGTGTCGAGGTTGTGCACAGAAATAAGCTACTGGATTCAATATCTCTACTTCTCGAGTTCCCTAAATGCCATTAAGGTGTGCGAACATAAAACCTATTTGAGCACAATTCTTCTTCATTTGATGAAGCAGGATCTTGTAATCTTCTCATTAATAAATAATTCTGGCAAACTACTCCCTATCTTAACATACAACAGAATTGGGATTTTCCTGCAATTACGATTACTCTGTAAATATTTTGTACGATATTGTAAATAATTATAAATATATATATTGTATATTATATAACTGCAGTTGTTTGAATGGAGATATCTATATGAATAGTATACTTAATCTAATTTTGACAAATCTTTTCCCCATGTATGTATATATGGGAGTTGTTACTGATATTACTTCTACTGGAAACAGCTAGTTTGAACAGATACATATGTGTGGAGGTGTCACAGTGCAGAGGATTGCTGTTTGTATTTAAAGGGGAGGTCCACCCCGATATTAAGTTTTGATAACAATGAGAGAAACAAATTAGTGAATGCTTGAGCAATATCTGATTAAAAATAAAAAACTATTTGAAGTTGTCATCAGTACAATACGAATTGGCAACACTGACATATCTTGTGAGCTCCTCTCTAATTTGCTCTGTAGAGAGAAAATGTCATAAACTCTAATTTTCTTGGTTATTGATGATGGAATAGATTTGTGTCATACAGGGGTTGTTTAAAACCTTACATCAGGGTGGACTTCCCCTTTAAGCAGTGGACTACTCACTGTTAAATGCTTCAATAATTTATATTGTTCGATCAGTAATAGATGGCTCACTCCAGTGACTTCTTCTACAGAAGCACATTTTGGCATTGTCGCATTCATTGAAACTGATAATTATCTTAATATAATGTTGTTCATGAAATCACTCGTATCATGAATTACATTTTAGACATAAGAGCATCATTTCAGGAAACCATCATAAGTACAAGTTCACTTAAATCTCATTCAAACGTGTACTGTGGTTAACAGGAATTTCAAAGGCAAACACAACATTGCTTACAACATGTTTTAGTTGTATACTATTGAACGTAGGAAATGATGTCATTAACTTGATTAACTTTGATTGTTACTGACACATTCTGACACATTTGCTGTAATTTATTCTATGCACGTGTACAAACAAAGATTTTAAATGTATAATATGTTTAATTGTATAAACTAAGATTTTTTCAAATAAGAATGACTGCTTGATGTATCCGTCCAAAAAATACCTTTCATATCCTTGTATGTAAATGTGTGTGTAAAATAAATCTATGGTATTTTCTACTTTGCATGAAGGCAAATGTAAATAAATTCTATGAAGAGAGCAACAATTGTTTTTACTTTCCTTATCAATGTTTAATGTTATTAAATTATATTGATGATTCTTACGTAATAACTGGACAGGCCAAACAAATCTATACATTCATAATCATTTGACAAGGAACAATTTTAATATCATCATGACAATTTATTTAGATTTTCTCTCAAAAAGGTATCCTTTGAAAACAAGAAAGGTGTAACTATAAACCAAATACAGAAAAAGTTTGGCAATACCAAGGCCCTGTTTTATAAGGTAAAATGCAACTGCACGATTGCTTACACCCAATCAAATGCAATTATTTTAATTAGTACATTTATTGAACTTGTTATACATTTATGAAACAAGGCCCTACGTAGTTTAGTGGGTCGACATTCTGTTCCTCAAAAGACTTGAACACAGAGTATACGTGAACTTGAAGTACAACAAAACTCAAAGAAAAGCTAAACATTTCATGTATTGCAATTCATCAAAGTCACTAAAAGAAGTTTCTTCTGTGAAAGGTCATAATTTTATGACTGGAGGGGGACTTTTTTAAGCCAACAAATGAATTTACTTTAAAACTTCTGTAACACACAAGGGGGAGGAGGAAAAAAAAGAAGTTGGCATACTTCTATACCTGTTAATGGTGTACTTAATCTATGCCAAAAGAACATAAGGAATTCAGATGAAGAGATATTTTCATCCTATCTCTTTAATGAAAGCAGAAGAAAAAACATTGTAGAGTATGCCACACAGTTTTAAATTTACCTTTACTATTATCACTCCCTGTTAAACCAAACAAAACAAATTTAATTCAAGAAATTTCTATCGGGGAAAATTGGCATGCGTCCCTTCTTTACTGACCACAACACGTGCAGTTATAACCCTTACAACAGCAAAATAATACTACATGCGAAAATGTAAATCTAACATGGTCAACATGGAAAAGAAGGAAAAGGGAATAAACAGGAAAGCCCAAAATACTAAAAAGAAAAGTATCAAATGAAAGAAAAGAAACTTCTTAACTTGTATGATTTATGGATTGGTCAGGACTTTTGTCAACACATTCAATATACACATAGAACAACAGATCTACCATGCAAAGAATAAGTTGAGTAGGTTTATAACATAGTCATCCATAGCACCAGAGAGTAAAGCACCATGAGACAATCTAGTGTACTACTGTATTATTAACAATTATTCTTGCAACAGTCTCATTTACACAAATTCTGCATATTGTTGTAGACGCACTGATTGGAAACATGCAAAATCTGATGGTAGAGCATGTGCGAACATGTATTGTAAGTAGCCTGTTTTAAAGAGCATGAAAACTACTTGCAAAATTTTTTCTGCGCGCTTGTCATCTGCAAAAGTATCTGTATGCAAAAAGAGTAGGTTATACAGTTTACAAAATTTAAACTCTGCATTTGAAAGAATTTGGTAAATATGACACCAGGGGGGAGTTTCACAAAGATTTTAAGTTGAACTTATCTCTAAGTTAGACTTACAAATTATGGAAGGCTGTTAGCATCTTTGAAAATATTGTGTAAAAGTAATTTTAAAAGGCTTTAGATGTTGATTCAAACTTTTCTTATTTTCTAGTATCAAGGAGATTACATGTTTCTTGATGTGGAATTTATGAAAAGACTAAAATATTTGCATTTCTGCTTATAAATATATATCATTTTAGAGTAAAAATGGCTGTATATAATTTTAGAGTCCAACTTAGAATTAAGTTCTATTTAGGATCCTTGTGAAACACCCCCCCCCCCCCCCCCGCACTTCTTGTAGGAAGAGCTCTCTGGAAACATCTCCAACCTGTTTCTCCTATACAGTACATGGAAGTCAAGAAGAGAAGAAGAAGAAGAATGCCAGGATATCAGGTTTCAGTCTGAACACATATTTACGGAGCTGTAAGAGCGATTTAGCTATCGAAAGATTCAAAAGTGCGATCAAGAGAACGGGACGTACGGACAACCCGAAAACATAAAAACAATAAAATACTTAAATATCACTATGAGAATATTACACTTATATAATGCCAAATCCTAGAAGGATCCCTACCAACAGAAGAGTTCTTTTTCACTTGATCTGGTACCAGTATGTGCAAATTCCATCTTTGAAAGACTGGGTATGAGCTAGCTAACCAGTCATGTCGAAGTAGTCAATGACTTTTTCCTTGGTCTTGCTACCGACAATGTCAGTGGAGAGTTTGACAGCCTTCGCTGCAGATCTGAAGAAGAAAAAAAGAAGAAGTGCATTGATGAATATGGGTCAATCATTCTGCATGTTATTGAAAATATAAAGACAGAAAGGCAAGTCCTTTTGAAAACTTGACACATATTTTTAAAGCAACACTGAACTGATGAACTGTTTGCCCTAGAGTACTGTTTATTGCACAGTGGAATCTAATGGTCAACTTGCTATATAAACAATGCATAATCTCCACTTCGCAGACAGAGCACTTGATGCGAGAACCAACAGCGCAGCTTTGGAAGCAGCGAGTTACGGGACAAAACTGCAACAACTCGCTGAGATGGCGCTAGAGGTGATTTTGCGGTAGTGCTTCTAGTACAGTATGGCATTAACTCATATCCTGCCATGAGACTGCTAGCGCGCTATTGTTATAGTGCTCTGTGCACGCGAGCACGCTATCGATTGATTGCTACGTTCATGCTAGCGAGCTACCGTTTGTCTGCTTTGTGCACGCTAGCATGCATATGTAATAACAGTTATTGTTCATGCCCATTGCACCGTGCTGAGTGCTTTTGCAACGCTATTGAAAGTACCATCACGTGCATCAGATTATCGGCATTGGATTACGCGTCTTTGTATACAACAGTCAGATTGGATTTTCTCGAGTAATTCAGCGATTTGTTTTTTGTAAAGATTTAAATAACACGCACTTGAACCAACCTTAAAATTAACTTGGCACACAGGAGATTTGTGGCTGGCACAATAGGGATTAGCACTGTGGCACTGGGTGCATTGTATGGGTGGCAGCTTAAGAGTTAAGCACTAGTACTGCTGCTATCTTTGAGACCTTACTCATTAACCAGTCTTGGGTCCCCGATACATTTCAAATATTTCAAACTAAAAAAAAATAGAATTAGTAAACACAAGATAATCTTGCCATCACTGTACATGGGCTGTACCATAGATGATTTAAAGGGATCGTTTAACAATATTAAATCTGAGATGCACGGCTCTACGTGTTATCAGTGTCTGTGATATGGTGCTATATTGAAGCCCTAACAAAATTGCGCTTCAAAATGATCAAGAAGTGCCTCAAAAAAAGTAAAACCTTTGAGTGACTGGTTTTACCATACTCGTTTTCCCCAATATCTTGATAATCAGACAGGTGATCGGCTTGTAAAAGTCATGGGGTTCCTGACTGACCTAAAGGTGTATAGTTATCATTGCAGCATGAGCTAAATCTAGGATTTTGTTTCAGAATCTGTGACAAAGTTACCGGATCCCTTCAAGTATCCTTACCTGAGATCGCCTTCCTGACTGGCATGGGGTATGGGAAGCGGTGCCCTTGGGTTAATCCCTCTCTGTATGGTAGCCGTTAAGGTCATGGTTGGCATGAAACATCGATTCCTACAAACACACAAAACAAGGACTGATATTAATATGGCAGGCGTTATTAAAGGGGTCAAAAGGTTAATCCCTCTTTGGATAGTAAGCAAATAATTACCGTTGGTGAAGGTGATGGGACAAACTATCACTTCCGATCTGGATGTAGCTATCTTTCCGAAGTGAAGCACAGGAAAGATAGCGTATACATTCAGATCGCCGAGGAAGTGATAGTTTGCCATCGCCTGAAACCAAAAGGTGATTATTTGCTTTATCTCACTATGAACATGACTGACAAAGAAAGCGGACAAAATAAACAGTTCCTCAGGTAGACAAAGGAACATCCCTTCACTGCTATTATGTACAAAATGCGTAGAACAGGTGTCACATGCATATTCACCTTTTTACATAATAGCAGTGAAGGGATGTTCCTTTGTCTACCTGAGGAACTGTATATTTTGTCCGCTTTCTTTGTCAGTCATGTTCATAGTGTCTTCCACATCAGAAATATTTCACTTCTTCCGTCATTTTAGAGCAACAAATCATTAATTAACAGCTAGCAAACGGTGTACGATACGTACAGTGCACGCAGTACTTACGTACGTACGTATACGCAACGTATACAATCTTCCTTGAAAGTGTCTTGCATTGTGTAGATAGTACTACTATCTACACAGTGCAACAAATTTTTCGTCTCCCATTAATGATGGGCGAACTATCTTTCATTACATGATTTACTTTTGACCAATCGTAGCGCAAGATTCTTTGTAAGTGGAATATAATAGCTTTTAATGTCATGGTAGGCATGCAACAAGGATTTCAATAAACGCCTAACACAATACTATGATTCATAAAAATGTGGTATAGGTAGTGGGGACCAAGGATTCAGTCATGTGTGTAGGCTACTCAATACACATACATATAGTCCCTTGTGTTAACAAAATTTCTATGCTTACATTTTAAAATGTGATATTTTTTATTTCTTCATACTCCTTTACCGTTCACTCATAGAATCTTTGGCAAAGGTTTTTTTTTTTTTTTTAATTTGTTGGGGGAGGGGGGGGGGGGGGGGGGGGCTGGGATTTTCTACATATTTTATGTACACAAATTATCTTTTTGTGTGACTAGTCCCTTGAAATACTGCATAATGTACATGTGTGAACTTACTTTCTTGCTGTGGTGACTACATTTCTCTTTGGTTCTTCATCATAACTTTCCGATTCGCTGCCATAGAATTCAGACAGCTCATGGATGATTCGGCGGTGGTTCTTCATCATGGACGGGAAGGCGTGGCTTCTACTGGCCTGCTTGGACTATTACATAATAGTGTCAGGAAAGTTATAATTATAATAATAGCAATAATAATAACAACAAGAATCAGTGGTGATAGTGAGCACTAAAATTTTTTTTTTTAAATCGCAGACAAAACTAGATGGAATTTTGACTGCGCGCAGTCGAAAATGATGCCTCCGCCATAGAGCAATTTAAACAAGTTTGGAGTTTAAATCTCCAGTAGTTCTTGAGATATCATGATAACAATCTCAATGTATGGAATTTCATAAGTTGACCTCTGTGACCCTTGACCTTTGACCTACGTGCTCCAAAATCTAAGCAGATTGTCTTCCTATGGTGATACACACTATCATTAAGTTTGAAGTTTAAATCTCCAGTGGTTCTTGAGATATTATGATATGGTGATACATACTATCATTAAGTTTGAAGTGAAAATTCTCCAGTGGTTCTTGAGATATCGCGATAACGATCTCAATGTATGGAATTTCATAAGTTGACCTCTGTGACCCTTGACCTTTGACCTACGTGCTCCAAAATCTAATCAGATTGTCTTCCTATGGTGATACACACTATCATTAAGTTTGAAGTTTAAATCTCCAGTGGTTCTTGAGATATTATGATAACAATCTCAATGTATGGAATTTCATAAGTTGACCTCTGTGACCCTTGACCTTTGACCTACGTGCTCCAAAATCTAATCAGATCGTCTTCCTATGGTGATACATACTATCCTTAAGTTTGAAGTTTTTACATCTCCAGTGGTTCTTGAGATATCATGATAACAATCTCAATGTATGGAATTTCATAAGTTGACCTCTATGACCCTTGACCTTTGACCTACGTGCTCCAAAATGTAATCAGATTGTTTTCCTATAGTGATACACACTATCACTAAGTTTGAAGTTTAAATCTCCAGTGGTTCTTGAGATATCATGATAACAATCTCAATGTATGGAATTTCATAAGTTGACCTCTGTGACCCTTGACCTTTGACATACGTGCTCCAAATCTAATCAGATCGTCTTCCTATGGTGATACATACTATCCTTAAGTTTGAAGTTTAAATCTCAAATGGTTCTTGAGATATCGCGCTAACAAACTCAATACAAGGAATTTCATAAGTTGACCTCTGTGACCTGTGACCTTTGACCTACGTACTCCAAAATCTAATCAGATCGTCTTCCTATGGTGATAAATACTATTCCCGAGTCTTAAGTTTAAATCTTAAATGGTTCTTGAGATATTGTGATAACGGTCAAACGGGACGGACGTACGGACGTACGTACGGACAACCCGAAAACATGATGCCTCCGGCACCACCTTCGGTGGCGGAGGCATAAAAATAGCATTCACCTCTTTTGAGTAAGAAAATTGGGAAAAAAAAGGGAATAATAGGGAAAATAAGGGAAAAATCAAGAGAATAGGGGTAAAATCAGGATGAAAAGAAAAGAAAACAAATCGGGGGGAAAAGAAAAATTGGGTAATTAACAGGCCTGAATAATAGTGGGATCTTGTTTAGGCTTTAGCGCTCACGTCCATCAGACTTGACACTTGTGGCACTTCACGATTAATACCCCAGCTTTAGCATGACTGCCATTATAGCGCTCCAGCATTCCAAGGAATTAATTTCTGCCGGTTACGCATTGACATGGGTCGAATGTGGCAAATGTAGATTAATATCTTGCTTAAGGACATTAGTGCTGCGGTGGAACTTGAGTTGCAGACCTTGTGATCCACAGTCCGGTGACATATCCACTCCACCACGACACCTCTACACAATATAGGGTTGATATCAATCGCAACTATATACATAAGAGATAGGAGACTGCAAACTTGCAATTGATTGGAGGACTTGCTATTGATTTGGACCAATCGCAACTTACATTGGCCCAGATTGGCCCAGTGAATTTACATGTGGGTGAAAAAATACATGCCTAATACACCAAGCTTGACTTGTTCACTGAACACTATTAACCCCTTTGACCCCAAGAAATTCACACAAAGAAATAACAAAAGCATTCTATGTAGTCAAATCTTAATATTCATTCCATGTTTTATCGTAGAATTAGGTATGGAAATTACTTTTAAATAATAAACTGTAGAATGCACATTTTTATTTCTGGTATAGTTGGAAACAAATACCGGTAGTCATTCTTCATGGGGATCCCCAAGTTACAGACAATCATTAAATTTCTACAAAAATATCAATGAATGGGCTAAAACACACTCTTTGCATTAATTTAAAAAAAATAGATTATGCTTACACTTTGAGCAGAAACAACCAACGCAGCCATTTCTTTTTCTATAGCAGCCACAAAGCCTGGATGCTTCCTGTGTCAAAGAAAATAAATTCTCTTTAGAAATAAAGCAAAAATAAACAAAACATGGCAACACTTTCTTAACACTTTTTGAAGTGTATTTGCAATATTTTAAAACAATGATTTAGTGTATTGGAGTACATTTCATATTTATACCATACATTGATTATCAATGTATGTGATACAAGTAAACTTTTTAAGGAAACAGGAGAGAAATGTGTAGATTGAATTCTATATTTTTTCAATCTTTTTATCAAAACTTTTTGGTCAGCGACACTTTGCCAGATGCTTTAATAGATTCAACATTTTTTTTAAAGCCAGGGCAAAAGGCCACCTGGCAAAAATAACACAGGTTTCCTTGGATAATCAATATTTCTATGATAATTAAAACAAATGTTTGTAATGACCACTACCCCATGTGTCAAATAAAAACAATTAAACATTTCTGAACAAATACATTTAATTCTCTTCCAAGAAACGATGACTAGATTGTATGGTAAATGAGCTAAATCAGAAAAAGAGTGGAAATACCTCGCTTGTTCTTTCAGAAAGTCACCATATTGAGTTATTTTACCGCTTGCACTCAATTCAGGGTTCTTGATCTGCAATGCAACAGCAAGCCGTCTAAAAAAGGAGAGAAGAAACGAAGCGTTTGCAACAAGATTCATCATAATAAAGCTTTACACATTATAATATATTGCACAGGATTAAAATAAAACAAATATGAAAATTGTTATGAGCCTTTTTCCCCTTCAAATTACCATTTTATTTCATTACACAGCGAGTTGAATGATATCCTTTGTAATCGTTTTCATCTCTTTATTTTGACAGCAAGTTTCGTTGAAATCAACTGTCAAGGGGTTGGCATTGATCTTCAGAAGCCAGTAATACAGCGGAACCTGTATATAAAGACCGTCCCAGGGTGACAAGAAAAGTGGTCTTTGAAAGCAGGTGGTCTTTATGTACAGGTTCCTTTAGTACATGTTTCAATGACAAACAATTTTGGAGGGAAACCAAAACAGGTGGTCTTTACAGGGAGGTGGTATTTCTATACAGGTGGTAAGTAAAACAGTTTTGACTGTAGAATATCCCCACTCTCTTATCTCGTAATGAGAGGTGGGTCTTGCACAGATTAATTTACAAATATTTATGATTTGTCATAACATGATGAGTAAAAAATGGAGCATTACATATATTCCTCATCCATACATGTACACCTTAAATGAAATGAAAATATTTATCTTGTCCCCATACTGACATATTCCGTGAATATAACTTGGAGACAAGTTCTTCATCCAAATCGTAGAATGTTGATTGAAATTTGAAATACTATCCATCCAAGATGAAACAAATTAATCTATACAGTAGGCTTGCGGGTGCACCATGTGTGAGAGAGAGAGAGAGGATTGAGGAGTCCTGAAAAGGACTCTGACTTGGTGGTGTGTAGTCCTGAAAATGACTGTTTGTTATCTTTCTTAGCTTATAGTTCTAAGGAGAACTATAGCGCTTGGAGAGGATGAGTGGCTCGACGTTTCGAACAGGAGATTAATCTATATCTGATTATATCGTTTATGGAAAAATGAAAATGTGGATATGATATGAATACTCACTTATTTCTTTCTTGGAGTGCACACTCTTCATCGCAAAGAATCCTGATAAAACAAAGAAATGAAAAATAATCACAGATCACAGACCTAGTTATTTCTAGTTTAGTATTTAATGGGTGAAGAGTAACCAGAGCATCTAAATAATGGGTCTTTCGGATGGTGACAATAGGGACTTTTAGATTTGCAACGTCGACAGCTTTGACTGCAACGTGTGACATCATTTTAAGGCACTGCGCATGCGTCACGTCATCTCAGTCGGTGATCGAGAATGCGTCAAAAAATCTAGATCTAGTCACTATGAACATGACAGACAATGAAAGCGGACAAAATATACAGTTCCTCAGGTAGACAAAGGAACATCCCTTCACTGCTATTATGTAAAAATGTGTAGAACAGGTGAATATGCATATTCATTGTTCTACACAATAACAGTGAAGGGATGTTCTTTTTGTCTCCCACAGCAGGGTAGAATGAGGAACTGTATATTTTGTCCTATTTCTTTGTCAGTCATGTTCATAGTGTTACTTCCTGCATGCATGTATATCGTCGAGTGCAATCTAAAAGATTTCTAATTGTAGTCAACATGGGCAGTTGAGTACGTTGACACGTATGATCAGTCAGCGTTCATCGTGTTCTCGTCCACTCAATCTAAAAGTCCCTATTAAAGGTCGGTCCCCAGACGTAAATAATCATATCTGATTGATACATGTCTATAAAAACAAACTTCACACACACATCATAGAATGTATCCTAGGTGCATAAATGAAAAATGATTACATACCGGTAAGTTTTATACACATGAATCCAGCATTTATCTCAATGGGTTTTCGCAGTTTTGTAAACATTACTTTTATCTGCCTAAGCGTAGAAAGAAGTGTCTGACAGAAAGATAATATAGAATTGGCAATTTATGAACTTACCTACTAGCCTTGTTAGAGCCCTTAGCTCCCGTCAACTCACTGAATCATCATCACCATCACCATCATCATAATCATCACCATCACCGTCACCATCATCATAGTCATCATCAACCTACAACAAGCAACCATCGACCAAACCTCCCCGCTGTCATTTAAAAATGCAGTTACTAAAGAACTTTTTTCCAAAATGTAATCGTCCACCCTCCCCCACCTCCAGTCAAAATTCTTCGGAGTATTTAGGAGGAAAATAATCCACCACCACCACCACCACCACCACCACCACCACCACCACCACCACCACCACCACCACCTCCACCACCACCACCACCACCACCACCACCACCACCACCACCTCCACCACCACCACCACCACCACCACCACCACCACCACCACCTCCACCACCACCACCACCACCACCACCACCACCACTTACCTACTAGCCTTGTTAGAGCCCTTGGCACCCGTCAGCTCACTTATGTCTACTTCTTCATTATGTTGTAGTGTCTGGATCTTACCAGCTAACTTGGACACGGTCAGCCTGTGTAAAGAGGGAGGAGGCAAGGTACAAACAATGAATTCATCGTCATCATCATCATCAGCAGTATTATCATTATCATCATCATCATCAGCATTATCATCACTATCATCATCATCACTCTCCACTTGTAGACACTGCAAAACAAATTTTCATGGGCCCCCCAAATAAATTTGATAAAATCATTTTATTATAATAGAGGGTAAAATACTCTCCATCCACAATGAGCACATAACACATTTCCATGTGTCTTTCCTTATTTAATAGGCCATTTTCGTAATGTAATCAAATTTAATGCATAATCTTTAAGTGCCTCATTACAATTTGCATTCTGACTGATGAATGAAATAATTTGTAACATGGTACTTAACAAAGATTTATGCATGAATTTGATTATATTACGAAAACGGCCTATTCAATCAAGCATTGAACATCTTTTATTGCGATACTTCATGACATGAACTTTGTTGTAGACTTACTTCTGCAGTGCTTTGTTAATGCCGTCACTCCCACTGGCCTGGCATTCCATTATCTGTACTCGTCTCCCGCATGGACACTTCACAGTTACCTACCAATAAAATATCACATTATTTTAGTGTTATCATGAGTATGGGTATTGATGATATATTGTAAACCAAACTTTCTCAAAGTTATTCTGAATGGTTGGATATGTATTAGATTAGATTAATTATGAATAGCGAGCTTTTAGAATCAGCATAGTTATACAGTTTGGGCTCAATCTTGCTAAAATCACATGCAATGTATAAATATTTTAACAAGTATTTAAAAAATGAAACAGATAATTGGTTCATGCCTTCTGCATTTCAGGGCCAATTTAGACAGAAGGTGGTGAGCCTCTGAAAAAAAAAACATTACAACAAAACAAAATAAAATGCATTTCTTTATCTTACAAAGTTCCAACTCACAGGTCAGTGAGTATGCTATGACTTATTGTTATGTGCCGCTTCATTGTTTTCTTCAATAATTCCCGAATACTCTCTCATGCTATTCATTTACACACAAAACTTTGCTGTATAGGGGTTATTATTGTGTGCAGCTGCATTGTTTTCTTTGATACCTCCTAAGAAAAATTGCCTGATGCCATTCATTTACACACAGAGTTTCGCTGCGGCAGTTTTTTAGACGTGGTATAACCTATAGTGTCTGAAGGGGACTTAATTCTTAGACTTACTCTTGTTTTACATGTGATCTGAGGACACGGCCAGCCCACATTTAAGAGGTGGTATACCGCATAGTGTCTGAAGGGGGCTTTCTACTTACCCTTGCTTTACATGTGACCTGAGGACACGGCCAGCCCACATGGCAGATGACGCTACATGGATGTTTGCAATCAGCACGGACCACCTTGCAAGGCTGCTTGCATTCAGGGTCGCAATCACCCTGTAAAGGATAAGTATAAACATTAGGAGGCGCGATGGCTAAGTGGTAGAGCTGGGGTATTAAACAAATCCGGATTTATATTTATCACCAATTTTGTGCCAAGCCCTAAAAGCATCATGTCAAATTTTCTCAGATAATCTACACAATATTCTCATAACTACAGCAATCATGCAATTTATTCTTTTTAGTGACCAGGATTTAAATTACTTCTTGATTCGCCTCTTTGCATGTTTTATTTTTCAGGAGAACAAATGAAAAAAAATTATGTAGTAATGTCTGAAAGCTATAAACTTACCGCGTGGCAGGTTTTGAGGCAATTGTGGTAGCCACAGGGCAGTGGTTTACCACAAGGACGACCACAGGAGATGCCTTGCACGTGGCATGGAATGTTGTAGCGGACCTGCAACAACAGAGAAAGGAAAGAGACTTTTGACATACAACCCCCAGAAGTGAAATGAAGCTCATACCACGAAAGATTGTGCCAAGTCAGTCACCAAAAAATAAATTGTTATTTCTCTCTTACTCTCTCTGCAACGCTTCTGCTTCTCTCTTTCTTGCCATAAATTCTCAAAAATTAGTTTTTCTACTGGAGCCTGAATCCCTTGACAAAGTAAAGATTGTTTGACTGCAAAACACATGCTCCACCATTCATTAAACTTTCTTTTTCCATACCCCAACAACTTTGTTTTACCTTATTTTTTTCTCTTCCACCAAGACATTAATATTATAAACTTACCATTCTCCATACTTACACTTCTAATGACGGCCATTTTATTCTTGTTATTTTAAATGAATTCATTCAACGAACGTTGTATTTTTACCTCAGAATGCTTTGAATATATCTTAATGTTTGCATGTTTTCTAAACTGAAGAATGAATAAAGAATGAACTGTAATTTTTTTCTTCAAACTTGAACAAATTCCTCCATGATATGGCTAACCTAACACCCACTCTTAACTCTAACTATATCCTAATACATCTTTGACAAAATAAATCCAAGAGCACATATCATCAGAGTTTATATTGGGGGCATCTAAAGAATACAAGCTGCATTGACTAATTCTTGATTTTAACCCTGAACCTAGCATTATACTATAAGAGCTAACTTTTCATGTAATTGCAACCCTAATCCTAACTCGATGTGTTTGAAAACCAAAATCCATAGCACAAGTTGGATCACGAACCGTCCTTCAAGACTCACCTCATGTCCCCCGATACATGTCTTGCTCGTGAGCTCCACACACGGAGGGCACTTCTCCTCGCTGTGGCAGTGATGTCGGATGGTATGCTGGCAAGCATGTCTCTGATTGCACGGCTGATGGCACTCCGGGGGCGGGGTACCGCAGGGGATTGGAGGGTACAGAACCTCAGTGCCGCAGTGACAGGTCAGCTCTTCAAAACCTAGATCAGAAAAGAGGTACAGAAGGGGGGATTAAGGATTTTGTAAAAAGGAGGGTGGGGGCAGGGCACCAATGTGCTGAAAAATTACCTAATAAAGGGGCACTTTTTATGGGGGGGTGGGGCTGTGTACTAAAGGTATATAAATTCAAATTAAAATACAACTATAAATTAAAATACAAAAATCTATTGATTAAAATCTGAACAAATATATATACATACTGTTAACTCTAAATATATGCAAATTCTGTTGTGACTGCCAAAAAAATAATCTGATTTATGCTAAATTTGACTTAGGAAGTGTAAATAACATTTTTTGCATAGTTTGGTCAAATATTTGATTTGATTTGGTCAAAATTTGAACTGTGTGACTGTGAGTTATGCATAATTACCTATGTTTACTGGGTTTCAAAGGGAGGTGGGAGGGGGGAGGGGGGGGGGGGTTGCATAAGTCAGTTGTCTCCCCCTCCTCATGGTCAATAGGCACTTGTTATAATTTCAATACATTACTATTTGCATATGAGCCTCATAGATACATTAGATGCTTTTACTTTCAAAATGTAAACTGAAACGTTGCTTTTACTTCAGAAAGGTGTGTTCCATTGACTTACTTGCATGGAGACACGGAGGGCAGTTGCCCATATGGCACGGCTCCTCACAGGCGTGAATACCACACTTGAGCTTGCGTCCACACTGCTGGAAGCACAGGTGATCTGTATACTGAAAGATTATTAAAAGGCATAACATAATAAGATTCTCTTCCTATACAGTGCATAGCAGTGTAAGAATATTATAAGATGGGTAGAAGAATCCCTGCAATCTGATTGGTCAATTACCATGTAATTATTTTTACTGGATGCACGCGATATCGGCGATCGATACCACCGATATCCTTTTTTTTTATAAAATAATTTTCGTTTTTTTTTTTTTTTTTTTTAATTTTTTTTTTTATATAACTTTTTTTTAAATGATTTTTTTTTGATAATTTTTTTTTGGTGATAATTATTTGTTTTTCGTGTGTTTTTTGAAGAAAAAAAAAATTCTATAATTTGGGGCCCCATCTTATAAAATAGATGATGCACAGGTTTAATTCGTGGGTCGGTGGAATTGTGTGCACGCAGTACCTTCGAATTTGGTCTAAAACCATTCAAAGGTTCCTTGTGCACACAATCCCTACCGACGTACTCAAACCTGTGCATCACTTGTATACTGTACCCTTCGCAGAAGCTCTGATAGGATTCAGTGTTTGTAAGTGCGATTTTCTCAGTGGTATTTAAAATATTTAATTGTTTTTTACTACAGCTCTTTTTTCAATATACAGAGCACTTTTGGAGTTTTTGAGAGTTAAATCGCTCATTGCTTCAATGCAATTTTTTTTGCTGGTGCATTGTATTATGATACAACATCCCTATGCCTGCTCTTATTTTGTAAATTATTACCCCAGCTTAATAGCACTAGCGACTATTTTCAGCACGCAGTGCACTTCGAGGACAAAATCTTTAATAGCAGATACCCACTTCTTATATCTGGGTCGAGTGTGGCAGATGTAGGTCAATGGCTTTCCCGAGGACATGGGTGATTGGGGGGGGGGGGGAGGGATTTAATCCTATAACGTGTGATCCAGTCGACTGACATACATTGTACATGTACATGTAGTAACTAGAGACCACAACCCCTCATAGAAGGACATAGTGTCAAACTTGGGAAATGTTTCATAAAGACTAAGATAGACTTTAAGTCAGACTTAACTATAGCAGGCCATCCATATGCCACTGTTTGCTCTCACCATTTACTGGCATTTGTCTCTCAAAGGAAATACAAATCATGGTCCCAAATCTACATAATTTACATTTTTGGATAGTTCATTATTGAAGGAAAAAAATATTATTTAAGGGTCATAATGGTGAGAGCAACAAGTGGCATTAACAGCCTGTCATAGTTAAGTCCAACTTAAAGTCAGTCTTAGTCTTTGTGAAACACTCCCAAGGTTGCATACACATGCTTTCTTAGCAGTCAGGTAAAACAAACAAACCAACCAACCAATGATGCCATATAGTAATTTTGCTACAGGATCCAAACGACTAACTTGAACAATGGTACCATACACCATACTTAACCCCAATACCGACCCTAGCTCTAAACCTCAGCTAACACTTCAAAAGATTGTTTTACAAGATTCAAATAAATACTTATTCGCTCTAAATTCATCCAAATTCTTGGCATAATGTAGACTGTTTTGCACATTGTGTTTATTTATAAGAACAAATAAACAAGATTTTTTTTTCATATAATTTTGTTCCTATGCTTTTTCTACTACTAGCATTCATGTCCATACATTAAACAAACATATTTACATGTAAGCTTGCAATTTCCCAATTTTTTAAAGAAATTTCTATTAAGTTAGCATAACTTTATGCATAATTCCACCGTAGGAGGCTTTCAAAACATACCGGTACCTTGAAACTTTACCTATGCAAGTTTGTCAAATGACGACACTTACCACACAACACAACTGTCCACATTTATGCCTCCCACAATGCTTCTTCTTGGTGCACTTCCTGTCACAGACGACCTCTGACATGCTACCCTGTGATTGGATGCTATCCTGTATCACCTTGCAAGAGACGTCGACGAACCGATGTCCGCAACGACACTTGGCGTTTGTGGTCTTCTCGCAGGGTCGACATGGCCCAGAGTGGCAAGGCTGCTCACATATATGCTTGACTGTCATGGTGCAATGCAAAGGTGAAAGATGAAAGGTCAAAGGTCGGGAGAATGAAGAGATGCCAAGAAATACATATAGACTGACAAAAAAATAGACCACCGATTTAACTGCTTAAAGGATTACTTCCTAAAGAAGGTGAAAGGTCAAGAGAATGAAGGGATACCAACAAATATCGGTAAATTTATTAAAATAGACCGCTGATAAACCACTGATGAGTTTCAATTGCTTATAGGATTAGTTCCATAAGAGTTCTCTTTGACTAACTAATCATGCCATAGATCAGACAGCACACATAATGCTCCAAAGATGCTTTCTAATAGGGACTTTTAGATTGAGTGGACGAGAACACGACGAACGCCGACTGATCATGCGTGTCAACGTACTCAACTGCCCATGCTGACTTCAATTAGATTTTTTAAAGATTGCACTCGACGATATACATGCATGCAGGAAGTATCACTATTAACATGAAGGACAAAGAAAGAGGACAAAATTTCCCGTGCCTTATTCTACCCTCAACAATTGCTGTGGTAGACAAAAGAACATCCCTTCACTGCTATGATGTAAAAATGTGTAGAACAGGTGAATATGCATGTGACACCTGTTCTACACATTTTTACATAATAGCAGGGAAGGGATGTTCCTTTGTCTACCTGAGGAACTGTATATTTTATGTGCACACGGCATACTAGTACCGTACTAGATTTAGGAAAATCAAGGTTGACGCATTCTCGATCGCCGACTGAGACGACGTGACGCATGCGCAGTGCCTTAAAATGACGTCACACGTTGCAGTCAAAGCTGTCGACGTGCAAATCTAAAAGTCCCTATTGCTACAGCTTCTAGAGCGGTAAGTAAATCTTACCAACATAAAAATGAGTGATTGGATGAAAAAACAAAAACCCATTTTGCACAATATTAACTTAAAAAATACTTGTTGATGTCATTGATTCATTCTATTTGAATACAAGATACATTCAACAATTTGTATACATCTTGTTCTTAAAAGATGTTTATCTTCATTACAGTTACGAATACTTATGGAAGCTTCTGAATGAAGGCTTAAAAGCATTTGTATTCAGCACCAAGTTTGGTTGTCATTTTAAGTTGGTTGGATCATGATAGGGTGGGTATTGCTTATAACCTAGTATGTTTTAAATGTAGATATGACAAGTAGCTAAACAGCAACACAAATATGTGTTCAATCGACTGAATCAAAATGAACTTTTCTGTACCAACAGACAATAAAGCTCTTCCCACACTTGTTCTTCCAGATTTCAGAATTTGTCCAATGAAACTGGCATGGATGAGAACCATTCTCCTCTCTGCAAATTAGAGAATGGTGTCAATTAACTGAATCTAATTGAACTTACCTGTACCGCCACATGCAAAGCTTTTCCCACACTCGTTCCGACAGGTGGGGATAGGGTCAATACAGGAGGTCCTCTCGACCCCCTCCAGGGACGAGAGAGGGGTCTTCCCGCAGGGGCAGTGGGTGATACGGGCGGGGTCGCGGCTGCAGGGTCGGCACTCACCAACGTGGCAGGGGGTTTCACAGTTGTGATGACCACAGTCCAAAGGCCTTCAAGGATATATTGAGAGCAGAGAAATGAGGCGTTCAGTATCAAAGATGCCTCACAAATACAGAAAATATTACATTTGAAAAACACATAGAGCCCTAGAGCATTCACTCATAAAGCCCAATTGTACTACTTGTAGCTACTTGCTCCTTCTATATAGAAAACAATGCCTAAGCGGTGACCATTAGTCCCCCATGATCCTCTTTTTCTTATGTTAATTGAGAGCTGAGTTGATGAGATAGCCACCTGTCAGTGACCACGCTGTTTGGTCTAATCCCTCCTGGCCAAACTAGTACAGATGGCCTTTAAATCAATCTTTCTTGTCAGGAACAACAAAGTAACTGCTCTCAAAAAGAAGAGTTTAACCCCCCCCCCTCACCCGAAGAAAAAAAGATATGATAAACATAAATCTATCCTTTTTCTATATGCCAATAAATGAGTATGGTAAACAGGGAATATGGAAAAAATCTACTTGGTGCCACCTTGGCGTTTTCTATTACTTACTTGTCACATATTGTCAAACAAGAATAGCTGCCTTCGGTACCAGTGGGTGACACTTCCTGGTTACACTCCACTTCTCTGCTTGCTCCCCCACAATAACATTCTGAAATAGAATAGAGAAGACAACCATCTTTGATATTAAAGCAGTCATCGTCCATCAGCATATAGAATCCGATACCACAATGAAACCTGTAAACAAAGACCATTCAAAGGATCAAGGGAAACATGAAACGTGGTCTTTATAGGCAGGTGGTCTTTATGTAAAGGTTATTTTAGTACAGGTTTCAACAGGAAACAGTATTCAAGAAACAAAACAAAATGGGTCTTTACAGACAGATGGTCTTTCTATACAGGTGGTCACTAAAGCAAGTTAGACTGGATTTGAATAGTACACAGAATACAGTGTTTTAACCTGTTAACTACTGCATTATCTTATTCCCATAGGCTTAAAGATAAAGACCAGTTATGGTCATGCGATTGCATTGTGAAAGAAACGTTGTGAAGTCGATCAGAAAAGGTTGATCATCTAGCATAGATGTACTGCAAGGTTCTGGAATCATCAAAATGATAAGAAATTTGACCCAGTCTTTATAAAGTTACAAGCACTGTACACAGAAAGATGTATATTGGACTACGCACACATGCGCGACAGGTGTGTTTTTATCTCTCACAGTCCAATAGATAAAATAATTTACCAAATATATCAATTAGTAGGCGGTTTCCCGGCAAATTTGTTATCATCATGTATTATTATTCAAAACTTTTGAAATTGGGGCGTTTCCAATACTGGTCTTTCCTTTAACACAGGGACCAATAGGTTTTTGTAAGCAATGGGTTAAAAGAATTCAGAATAATGATTGATAACTGGGCAGAAGTAAAGGGCATCATGGACCGGTGAATAAGTTGGTGGACAACGATTCATATGATGGATGATACACATCCCTATCTCTGCATAAAGTCACTCGGCAAGCCATGAATCTGCCACTCTCCACACAGGTGTGGTACATGTACATACATGTAGGTACCAGGTACAAAGAATTTCCTTGAAATGCCTAATGCAAGGGTCACTCTGTGGCCTGGACCCACCCTCCTCAGGTCATCACCTTTCTTCACCTGAGCCAATTATTTGTAACCTCAGGGTTTCACCATCACTTCATGTGCTTTACAAAAAACAAAGGCAAAGCATCACTCTTATCAGCAAATGTGTTAGTCCAGGCTTCACCCTTTGAATTATTTGCATAGGTGATGCTTCACTTTTGTCAGTTTTACATAGGTGAGGCTTCACTTGTGTCAGTTTTCCATAGGTGAGGCTTCACTTTTGTAAGTTTTCGGCCGGTCTGAAGCTTCACCACTGTTTCACCATACTGGCCATTTGCATAGTTCAAGCTTCACCACTGTTTCACCATATTGGCCATTACATATTTCAAGCTTCACGTTTTGAAATCAAGCTCCACCAATGTTTACTTATAATAGTAGACCATGACTGCAATGGTCTATAGTCATGATAGTAATTCCATACTGCTCAATAAGTACCAAGTCAACCAGGTTTCAATTCAAAGATACAGTAACATGTTTATTTTGTCAATCCAATGTTTCTACAGATATGTTGTTATGAAACTTAAAACGTTTATACAAAAGTTGTTTTAACTACAAGTCTTGTTTTCTAATACTAACTCTTGTTTTCTAATACTAACTCTTGTTTTCTAATACTAACTCTTGTTAACTATAAACACTAACTCCTGTTACCTATTAAACTCTGTTACTTGGAAATGAAAGAAAATGTTCATTCCAGACAAATTTCAGGTTTGCGTTGTTAGATTTTGACATTGTGTTCATTAAAACTACACTATAAAAATAATGAAGTTGCACAAGTGCACATTTCTTTTTATACAGGCAGTACTGTCACATTATTTTTGTAGTGTAGATAAACCAAGCTAAAACTCATTTTTGGTCTGGTTTATAAAATGTTAGCTTATCAAATTTCCTATTCACAATAGCTTGGTTACACCTCATTTGTTGTAGTTGAATTCAAGAAACTTTTGGCCGGGTATTGTACAACCACCTGATGATGGACCACACAATTCAGCCTTGCCCATAACACACTAATTATAATTGGTCCGAAACTATTCAAGCAAAGCAAACCAAAAAAGAAGTTAACTCTTCATTACCTGAGAATTTATGAAATGAGAGCATTAATTATAGAGAGTAATATGCATGATCAAAGTGTACTCAATGCTTTGCTTACTTAGTTGTGGTCACTACTATGAATAAAACTTGATGGGGAAATTGTCCAGAAACAGTCAATAAGTCAACATACCAACATAATACAAAGTATAGAACTTTCCAGCTATCAAACACATTGTATGCATTTGTAAGACCATGTATACTTGACTGGCAAGCATCTCTCATTTCATATTTTAACTATGACATTGACAACACCTGAACAATTTCCCGATCAATTCATTCAATAGTGAGGCTTCGACTCGAGCGCACGGCACTGCTGTGGCGTAATACCTTTGTGGAATACGTCAACATTGAAATCTCGCGAAAATATAGGCTAAGTTTTATGCACAGATTTCGTTAATAATCAATCGTAAAACAGGGTCGGAGTAGTACCGTCTCAAAATGATCGGAAAACTCTGAACTTTCTATTTTTTTTCAACTCACCTCGCAAAAACTTGGGGCCAAAACTTGGCACGATCTGCGCTGCGCATGCTGGGTACAATACCGACAGCTCGTAGGCTACTAGTCTCGTTTCCAGACTTGAGGCTGGCCTTTCAGGCACGTATACTGCGAATACTCACGCAACTAGTTATGTGTAGGAGACTAGTAGACTACTCGAAAACGATCTCGTGAAATCTCGAAATCAGTTTCGCTGGAGAAAAGTTCGGTGACCTCAGGACGATCACTCTGCAAGTGCATGAGTGACCGGAATAAAAATTAAATAATTGTTTTGAAACGCACGATTTCGACATGATTTCGACATATTTTCGACGCGACCGGTAGTGGCTTCGATGTCACATCACCTGAACAAACAAGGCGACCGATTGGATTCGATGTCACATCACCAGAAAAAACAAATTACTCGTCAAAGCTTCACACATTTCATCAATTTGTATAGTAAAGCTTCACCCAATGAAGAAAAACGAACGTTAGGACTTCACTACAACAACAAATAGGTCAGGGTCAGGCTTAGGCGTCGAGTCGACGTCGATATTTGGCGACCTCTGAGGAGGGTGGGTCCAGGCCACAGAGTGACCCTTGCATAAGTGCCTTCAGACAGCCGAGTGAATGTTATCAAGCCCAGTTGAGTACCTTTGCATTGTTTGCAAAGTAACTGCACTATATAAATATACATATATATTATTTATTTATTACTAGTACTGGGGAGTGTTTCACACAGACTAAGATCAACTTTAAGTTCAACTTAACTATGGCACGCCGTTCATGCTACTGTGTGATATCACCATTATGATCTTTAGATAATATATTTTTTAGATAATAAATTATCAACAAATGTAAATTCTGTAGATTTGTAAGTCCCTTCAGAGACCACAGCCAGTAAATGGTGAGAGCAAACAGTGGCATGAATGGCCTGCCATAGTTAAGTCCAACTTAAAGTCGATCTTGGTCTTTGTAAACCCCCCCCCCCCCCCCTCCAGGTATTAGGGACTTTTCGCACAGCGATGCAAGTGCCGACAACAGTGTATTTAAATGAGCTCGCCACCCCGCACCAGCTCGACTCCCGACGTTAATACAGCTGAATACCTTCGTAGGTTTGGATGCTACGCATAAATTTTCACTCTGAGTGCGACCCCCGCGAAGATTAACGTTGTAGAAGGCCCCATCGCCGGTGGTGAAAACTGCCTATTATGATAAAATTGTACAAACCTTGAAGAATGGTTTCTTCACAAGGGCTACACTGGTCTCTGTGACAGATCTCCTCACAGGTATGTCTTCTGCAGTTCAACGGCTCACCACATTTCTCCTGACATCGAATCTCATTCTGGGTACCACACCTCACTGTCTGCTGGCTCTTACCTAAAATATAGAGAAGATTAAAGGTATAGACCAGTTTTGGAACCCCCCCCCCCCCCTCAAAAAATGAAATGGAAGCTCTTACATGTATTAACAATCATGTGAAAAAATATGTTTGAACTAATACGTGATGATACAAATTTTGCCGGGAAACAACCTACTAATGAATATATTTGGTAAATTATTATATCTATCCAGACTGGATAGATGTAGGGTAGTCCCGCATGCATCTTTCTGTGTACAGTGCTTGTAAATTTACCGTTGACAAATATATCAATTAATAGGCGGTTTCCCGGCAAAATTTGTATCATCATGTATTAGTCAATCATATTCTTTCAAATGATTGGTAATAAGAGCTTTCAGTTTCATTTCATTTTTTGAGAGGGGGGCGTTCCCAAACTGGTCTTTACTTTAACTACAAGAGCATAATCAGACCATGAACTAGTCTTTTCCTAAGTCACTTTTACTTTTAGAGTATTTTTTTTAAATACAAACTAGTAATATCTCTAAATAAAAGTAAAAGTTACAGCTGACATTTTAAAATTCAATGAACCAAGACATACAGAGCAAAACAGCTTGGGGTTGATGGGTCAGTCCCCTTTAAGGCCAACTCACCACAATTGCAGGATTTCTGTACATTGGACGGACACGGTGGGCATGGACCCGGGTGACATAGAATGTTACAGGCATGGGGGCAGGAGGTGGGGCGACTACCACGACACACCTCCCCACAGCTGTGGGGGGTTTCCCCCGGCTCCCATGCGGGCTCTCTCATCTTCCCGCAGAAGCAGAAGTAGACGTGCGGGATCTTGATCTCGATGCCTCTGCACGCTGGGCACTGCCAGCCATCGGTTCCTGTCAGAGATACAAGGGTAAAACATAATTCAGTGTGTTTCTACTTTCGACGGGAGACCAGGGGGGTGTTTCATAAAGAGTTCGTAAAGTTACGCATGACTTTACGAACGACTTGTATATGAAGTGCCAGACAGGATGTCCCAATTTTTTTCTGATATTTCCAATAACCTCAATTAAATTATGGCAAAAAATATACTTTGCATTAAAAATGTTTGTTATCATAAGAATGTTAATCTACATCTGCACAGTTCAACTTAATAAATAAAAATCAATAATGATTGAGCATCCCATTTGGCTTTTCATATACAAGTCATTCGTAAAGTCACGCGTAACTTTACGAACAACTTTATGAAACACCCCCAGGGGGTGTTACACAAAGACTAAGATCTACTTTAAGTTGGACTTAATGTAACTATGGCAGGACGTTCATGCTACTGTCTGTTCTCACCGTTTACTGGCATTGGTCTATCAAGGGACGTACAAACCATGATCACAAATCTAAAGAGTTTTTATTTTTTGACAATTCATTATTGAAGGAAAAAATATTACCGGTATCTAAAGATCATAATTGAGAGACCAATGATGAGAGCAACTGGTGGCATGAACAGCCTGCCATAGTTAAGTCCAACTTAAAGTCAATCTTAGTCTTTGTGAAACACCCCCCTGGGCCCCGTCTTGATCAAAACCAATCAAAAGTCCTCCAATCAATTGCAAATTTGCAGTGTCCTATTTCTTATGTACATAGCTGTGATTGATATCAATCGCAAATAATTTGCGATTTATTCTACAGAACCGAGACTGCGAGAGCATATTTGGAAAAACCTGGAAACAGGTATGTTATTCCGTTTGTGTTAAAGTTATAATCGGATTATGGCGTTTCTACAGACGCCTGTACCTGGAAATAATCTGTTATAACCAGAGAATAGCAGACTAGCAGTATCTTGAAATCTGTTACAAACAGACTAAGTGCTACAACCAAACTTGTCCAATATCCCAGGGCAGACACTACTATCAGATGGGCAACTGAATTGCCCGAGAGCAAATTAAAGAGCAAACCATTCTCTAAAGTACGAAAAATCATAGATCAACAAAGTATTTGTAAAATCATACTGATCCCTAATATTTGAACACACATTTGACAAATTTAGTCTGTATTACAGAGGAAAATTCATCTGATTATAAAGATGGGAAAAGTGAATTTGGTAGATTAGACAGTGAGAATTCGTTTTAAACCATTTTGAAATTTTGTATGGATTTATCACGGAAGAAAATACCCCTTACCCATCATTCACTCACAAATGCCCTCCCCCAACCCATCCATCTCCTCTCCTGCTAAGAGCAGGTTCTTACCTTCAGCGGATGCAGAAGGACTTTTGGCCCATTTCTTGATGCAGCCCAGATGAAAGACAACAAAGCATGTTTTACAGCTCCAGACCCTGGCTTCGCACTTGATCCGGTCACAACACACAGGACACTCGTAGGACCCTGCCGAGAGCTGCTCAATGAGAGACCCTGTCTGGGTTTCTGCGCTGCCTCCCTTGGGGACCTTCTTTGGGAACGGTTTCCTGGCCCCCTTCTGGTTCTGCTGCTTGCTCGCCGGGCCACTTCCTTTTCCTCTCTGGTTTGGAGCGGACCGGTTTCTTGGGTTGTCTCTGTCGTTGTCATCTTGGTTTTCATTAGAGTTGCTTCTGTATCGATTTCTATCTCGTGGCCCGTCGTCCTTCTTATCTTGCCATCTGGTACCTTGTATACGAGACGTTAATCTTTCAACGTCGCTCCTGTCTCGACTGGCATTGTTGGACGAATCTCCGTCAGGGTATTCTTTTGGCTTTCTCGATTGCGATCTGGATTGTTCTTGTCTGTTTTCTCTGTAATCATCCTTTTGGTATGATCCACCCTGTTCCCTATTCCCTTTCCCTCTTCCCCTTTGTCTTCCCCCTCCCCTGCCTCGGTTCACACCCCTTCCCCCATCTTCATGGCTGTCTGAATAGCGCTGTCCTTCTTTGTGGCTCTCAAAGTCTTCCACAGCACCTTTGTCCGATCCCTTTGAACAGTCCTGTCTACCCCTCCCACCCCCTCTTCCTCTCCCACCTCCTCTTCCTCTCCCACCCCCTCTCCCGCCCCCTCTCCCGCCCCCTCCCTCCCCGCCTCTCTGAGGTTGTCGGCTGTCCTCCCACGTCCAATTCGTCTGTTGATTTCCACCTCGGTGAGCCATTCCTTGGTCCCTTCCAGGGCCGTATCTGTCGTCATACCCCCTTCTATCGTCCCTTTGACCTGCTTGGTAAATTTGCCCGGTCGGATGACCACCATAACTAAAATAATCTCCACCATAGCCTCCTTGGCCTTGTCTGCCATAGTCCTGATTGTGATTCCTTCCGCCATCTCTCTCGCTGTATCCATAGTCCCTCATACCATCCTGATCTCTTCTGTAATGCCCTCGACTGTCCTGCTCTGCTTGGTGATACCTATCATCATAATTCCGCCCAGGATTCCTGGACGGGGCATGTCGTTGCTGGTGACTTCTCTGATCCATCCTGTGTTGGCTCGAGGATGATTTCTCTTCCTTATTACGGTTTCCGTCTCCACCTTTACCTCCTTTTTCATATGCAGAGTCAAAGACCTCTGATGCTGCCATCTGTGGCTAGAATGGAATAACAAGACAGAAAAAGAAAATTATGTTCTAGTATAAACTAGGCCTGTGCATACCGTATTTGCTGGCGATAAGGCCACACCGTCGCATAGGCCGCACCCCAACTTTGACATTTCAAAGAGGAAAAAAAACAAAAAACAAGGAAAAAAAACAAAAAAAACAGACAAAACAAAATAATTATCATTTTCTCGAAAACACTTTTTTTTTTTTTTTACAAACTGATACCAAATTCATCAATATTCTTATAATTTACTGGAAGTTTAGCTAAAAAAGTGATCGCAGGCAGATTTGGTGTCCCATATGTGCAAATTTGTGCTGGTTTTTACTTTCGTTTTTTTTTTTTTTTTACTCTTTCGCCGTAAAGGCAGCACCCCGACTTTTTGATATTTTCTCTTCCAAAAATACTGCGGCCTTTACGCGGGCAAATACGGTAAGCGTGTATTTTGGTAGTCCTGGACACGTCTGGACATACAGTCGATACATGTGTACACAGTCACGTTTTGCATCATCATGTCATCAATTGCAACTAAAAATCTAAAGAGTAAAGTACAGATTTTGAGTTAATTCTGATGATTTTCGTACTGTGGTGTTTGAAAATGTTGAGAATCAATAGAGGTCGTCTAAACTTTACTACACAAAAAGTATACTAATGCTGCTACACAGTACATTTATGGGTAGGGTGTCTGATCGCGCACTTTGTTTTGCGCACTTGGTCTCTGACGCTCTGCAGGTTTCGGCTTCCCGATCCGTACACTCACTGGCAATGCGAAAAAAAGGATTACTCGTAATAAAATACCCCCATTTCACCCCAGTGGGTCTCTATACAAAGTCAATGTGAATTGCATCAAGAAAATCATTGCAGAATCTGTTTTTCGCATTGCCACTGTGCAGATCGGAAATAAGAAGCATCCACGAAAATGCGGACAATACTTATTTACGGACGCGTCTGTCCGCGTTTACGAAGACAATCATGTATACGATCCTTATTCTCGGACCAGCGCCCCTACTGTAAACACATCGACAGGCAACTCCTCCATGGAGCTCCGAGCTCCAGCGCCAAAGCTCGAGAGCCCGACCTCTAGTTAATTGACGGGATGACTTTTCATCATTTCGAATCATTAGTCACCCCGCCCCTTAATTCCAACATCCAATAGCATCGTGCTTGAATGAATCTGACACAATGATAGTCCATTCATCATTGATTGAGAGAATGATGTACTGCACTGCCAGTCACTGCCAGTCACTGCCAGTGGCTATATAAGTATTATATCCCTTGTTGTAAGATTGTTGCATTAGAAGTGTACACAACAAGAAAACAAATAGTTTTACTAGTTATAAAAAACGTTTCCTGCCGACCTCATCGGAATAGTTCATTTTTTATTGCTGACGTCACGCATGGAAAAAGGACTAGGCCTATGCGTGACGTCACAATAAAAAAACGCATAGTTCTGAACTAGATCTATGCGTTTTCCCAGCGAGCGCGTACATGATATTTCAAATGCCTCCGCCCGATACCGATCACGCATGCGCGTGATCGATAGCTCAACACCAGCCTCAACACAGAGTTCTGCAGCGGTTTGCCGTGAAACCTGAGAAAAAGTGTATCCCAATATCATTGTTTTTTCCGAAAAATAATCCAAAAATAACAAGTAAATTGACACGAAACAGGTAATAAACATAACAATTTTTAACTCATGATCTTTATTTGGACATTTAACGAATATTTACTTCATTTTGGGTATGTTAGTAGGGTATCTCCACGCTGGAGTGTCATATTTTGGATACCTTACTGAACAAGCGCCCACCGAACTTCTTCTTCTTCAGTAGCAGTACAACTTGAAATCACTCACTGTATATTTGTATACTATTACTAGTACCAGTGCAGTGCCATTGGCAGTGGCAGATTTTTCGGCATGTTCGGTGAATTTTGTTTTCTTCTCCTAACTTAGTTTTTATACTTACCATGCAGTTCGACTAGACTGAGCTGGGCTAAAACACGTTCACGACGAGCAGTATCCTACGCTTGATTATTCGACACAAGTTATAATTTCAGAGGAAGTTGCGACAGTTGAACGGCTCCGGTGGAAACAAATATTGCAACACAACGTGTGCGAGCAATGCAATGCTTTTGCATATGTTGTTGTTGTTGTTGGTAAATGTTTAATGGCGTTCATTCAGTAATGAATATATACGCCATAAATATCTTCAATTTTATAAGAAAATCAGTTATAGTCTTCATAAGAAAACTGAGAATAAAGATTTGTAATGAAATAATTAATTAATGCTTTTGCATAATATAATACACATCCATATTATACGCGTACTGTACACGTTATGTATTATAGTCTAGCTCCAGCTACTGCCCGAAATATAACCCCCCCCCCCCTCCCCCAACCCCTCGCTCGCCCCCAGGAGCGGTTCCAGCTAGATCTAGCCAGAAGAGTCATTGGAGGGGGAGGGGGGGGGGGGGGGGTAGGCACCCCAAGCCTTCTTCTAGAACCGCTATACTGCCCCTATCCCAATACCAATCCCATAGTAATTCTTTCAATTTTCTTACCTGGCTGTAAATATTACTATTTTAACTTATTCATTTTATACATAAATTATGATGTCTGTAAGGGACCCCACTGGAAGCTCTCGAGCTTTCGTGGGTTAGTCTATATCCTGTTCAAGCTGACTTATTTTTTTTTTTAATCTGTTATTGTATACTGTTGTATGTTGGAAGCCGTTGTCGAATAAATCAATCAATCAACTAATTCGATCCCTGAATCCTAAATCCTAACCCTAATCCTAAATCCTAGGTTATATAGCCTCACAGTCAAATACTAGTACTACCGGTCAGCATATCACTTCGCCTTCACCCTAAATTCACTACAAAGTTTACTGTTCATGTTTAAATATTTAAATAATATGCTCTCACTTTTATTTCAAACTCTGTTTTCATTATAAATTACACCATTTACTTTTACCCTTTACCCGTTTCCTCTAACTTTCATCTATTCAACCCGAAATTACTAATTGTACATATAGATCAACTAGACACAGCTGGTCAGCTATGGAATAGTTTCCTCTAGGCCTACTCATTTAAAGCCAAAGTAAAACAAACAAACAACGAGATGTTATTATCAGAATATGCTTTCTTAGCATTGTCAATCTTAGAATTCTTATACAAAATGATGTACAAGGTAACATTTCTGTGTAAACTTTTCAAATGTTGTGATAATAGTTGATCATCCCTGTATATATTTCTTTCATTGAAACCATTATCATTATCATGAACATCATCGCCATCAGTTCAGTTCAGTTCAGTTCAGTATCATTTCTTTCCCTCAAAACAAAAATACAAAGAATACCTTTTTTTTTCTTCGTGCAAATGATATTTGTTTTCAGCTCGATACAATATAGATGATAATAGTAATAATTCAAAATAATGAAATGTAGTATAACATGATATGAAAATGAATGCTTTGTAGAATTAATGACAAGAAACATATTGTAAATCATCATCATTATCATCAGCATCATCATCGTCGTCATTATCTTCAGGCGCGTATGCAGGGGGGGGGATTAAACCCCCCTTGAATTTCATGTGTTTTGTGTATGTTTTTTGGGAACCCCCCCCCCCCCTTTTGAGTTTTTTTTTAATAAAATGAAGAAAAAAAAAATCCTTATAGATGACCTAAAAAAGATGACCTTACCCCACCCCAACGGTCGATGGGTCAAAATTTCAAATTTCGGGACCCCCCCCCCCCAAAAAAAAAAAAATGTCCTCTTACCCCCCCCCCCCCCCCCCCGCTTATTCAGCGGCTGGCTGATTCGTTGCGATTTTTTGAGGACCAAAAAGTGTCCTCTTACCCCCCCCCCCCCCCCCCGCTTATTCGGCGGCTAGCTGAGTCGTTGCGAAATTTTTGGTCCGACTTTGACCCCCCCCCCCCCCCTTGAAAAAAAATCCTGCCTACGCCACTGATTATCCTTATATAGTTACAAATGCATATTTGTTTATTGTGCTTGATAAATATGTGGATCTAGGCCTATTTAATAATAATAATAATACATAACATTTATTAGGTGCTTAATACTGATGTTTCTAAGCGCACAGTGTTCTGATTAAGAGAAGACTATAACCCGTAGAATTAAATTAGAAGAAAAAGCAAAAATACAAAAGTAACATAGATAAGGTAAGAAAAACAGTGGCAATCAACTAAATAAAGACAAATATGGTGCGCACCTCCATTGACCGACGCACAACTGCAATTTACAATTTGAAAAGATAGGTTTTGAGTAGAGATTTGAATTGAGATACAGAGGGGGCGCAGTGAATAAAGGCGGGCAGTTTGTTCCAGAGAGCGGGGGCAATAACTGAAAAGGCGCGGTCACCATACCGGGTGTTAGTGCGGGGTCCAGGTGTTAACAGTAATGTGGAAGATGAACGAAGTGTTCGTTTGTTTCGGGCTGCCATATTTTCAAGCAACTTCTTAGTATCATTCTTCCGCAAATAATTTTATAAAATTTGATGAAATATGATAATTTTACAATTTATCTTCTTTTTTCTAGAAAAATTGTTATGTTTATTTGCTTATTTATCATTAATTTGTCAAAAAGTACTTTTTAGTATTTTATGTTTGTCATGTTTAACGAAAATTGTTTATATTATATGGAATGCAGAAGAAAATCATGATAAATGGGGATTTTATTATTTTGACATTGGACTCACAATACCCAGCAGTAAAGGTGAATTTGTTTATTTTTTTACATTTGAAATTTGTCACAAAAATCTAGTAACCATAATTCTAATTGAAAGTACAAACGTTTTTACGAATATTAGCCTTTTTTGGCAAATATCGGGAATTCTTTAGAATTGGTGATTTTGGGGTGATTTCTTACATTTCTGGTAATGTTTTACCTGCCGTTTTGTGATATTGATCAATTCTGGCAACACTGTAGGATTTTTGTTTAGGTGACGGGCCTTGTTCTAAAGGAAAGCTTTAATTTGTGGTCTGTAAAACTATTATCAATGACAACGATGGTTTGCCTTCAATCGCCTAATTAAAAAATACAGGTGTCAGGAGTCACATGCACCCCAATCAAATGGGGCAAAATGGACAACAATGGAGAGAGAGAGAGAGAGAGAGAGAGAGAGAGAGAGAGAGAGAGAGGGGGGAATGAGCATGAAAAGCAAACTATTATTATACAGTGCGTCCCAGGAAAAACGAAGCCGAGAATAATATCGATGTTTTATCATAATTTAATCACAATTATAATTGACAAATGACACATATTATTTGGAAAGCTTAGATCCTCCTCTTTGATTTAATACTACTCGTATAATGCAAAGTTTACGCATGAGTGATTAAAATTAATTTGAAGAGAGGAAACCAAAATATCATTTGGCGGACGGTATCTGAATTTCAAAGAGAAAATCACATTTCCAGAAAGTTGAGTATCATACCCTTTCCAATGACACCTCAAGCAGGAAAAATGAACTAGGAATAACAAAGTTCTGTTCGTTTAAAGTAGTGCTTGCATTTCCATAATGTTATCAAACGAATTCGTTTTCACTGGCTGCCTGCAGTAGCAACAAATGGAATTAACAAAAGACTTAACTCCGTTTCGTTGACAATCAGCCCTGCATAAAGTCTTTCGTCTACGGCTGATTGTAAAAGAAATGGAGTTAAGTCTTTTGTCAATTTTGCTAGTTGCTACTGCAGGCAGCCAGTGAAAACGAATTCGTTTGATAACATTATGGAAATGCAAGCACTAATTGGAACAAACATAACTTTGTCATTCCTTGCTCATTTTCCCTGATTGAGGTGTCATATGAAAGGGCAGAAACTCAACCTTCTAGAAATGTGATTTTCTCGTTGAAATTCAGATACCGTCCGCCAAATGATTTTTTGGTTTCCTTTCTTCAAATTAATTTTAATCACTCATGCATGAAATATGCATTTATGAGTTGCATCAAATGAAAGAGGAGGGTCTAAGCTTTCCAAATATGTGTCATTTATTAATTATAAATGTGACTAAGTTATGATAAAACATCGATAGTTCTTGGTTTCATTTTTTTCTGGGACGCACTGTATAGGACCCCCTCCCACAAACTCCTTCTAATCGACGCTTAGAAACGTAATATTGAGTGCTATACAAATGTGTGCACTATTATTAGTATTATGGCTATAAATCGGTGCCCCCCCCCCATGATTTCAGTGCACTGCAATGGTATGGTATGGTATGGTATATTTTATTTATTCACGGTAATACAATAATTGTGCCCGCATTCAGCAAATTAAAGCTGTTTTTCAGCGAGGTCGTGACTACATGCACATACAATTCGAATGGAATATGACTGGAAGTCTGGATACACTCTATGTCAATGTCCGCCTTTGAAGGACCCTCTTAATAATGTCGCACTACTCGGTAGTCAGATGGTAAACCGAAAAACACAGTCGGGGATATTATGAATGATGAATAATTGACAACCATGGCTGTATATAATTATGCTTATTCCATTCCACCGAATGATTTTGTCTTATTAGATTTATTTGTCTTTTTCTTTATTTCTTCTTTGCTTTGATAGACGAATTATTGAACGTTCAGTCTTTATTATTGTGCTTTATTTGTCCTTGTTTATTTGTCGTCGTTTTGTTTGATTCTATAGAACAAATCGGTTCAATCAATAAAAGAACAAAAAACGTGTGTAATTCTCTCAAAAATGAAATTTAGATAACACTTTTGCAAATTGGACGTAATAAGTTAATATGTATTTATATTATATAAAAACGTCCTTTCGAGACAAAGGCCTATCTATCATCGCGGTCACCCCCGAAAAATCGCTAAAACTTGATATTTTATTCAGGAAAAACATTGTGTAATACAAAATTAGTAAACTGTAAACTTTAAACCGATGAATACTATTATTCCTAGAATACAGTCCTTTAATAGATAAACATCGGTTCCCCCAGAACGAAAAAGAAAACAGAAAAAACATGGAATCAAGTCCTCAAATTTACGTCACAATACAAATCAACCTCTACATTGTATTTACAGGAAGTATACCAGCCTGAAGAAGAAAAAAAATAACAGCATTCCTATTTCAAAGGATTACCATTTAGGATTACATGGTTTTCTTACAAAATATGCATGTCATTCCCATAAAATTACCCCAC